GATGCAGTGCTACATTTCTACAAACCTGATGAAGAAACAAACTCATCCTAATCTCAGATGATCTGAGAGTGACTAAAACTTCAGAAAACGCTAATTTTAAGTGAACTCTTCCTTCAGTAAGATGGTATTTACAGCTGGATATGTTTCTCCTGTGCTGCAGCGACAGATTCCTCTGCATTAATTCCTCTTGTACATACTAATCACATACTAATGAATGTTAATTAAACGGTGTTAATTATTAAAAGCGTTCTTCTTTAGGTCACATCTAGCAGTGTTAATATGTTTCTGGTCTCACACTGCAGCAGTAGTGCTCGTGGTCTGATGCTGGCTTGTATTCACTGTCTCTGGCGATCTGTGTTTCTCTCATCGTTTGGATCAGAGAGGGATTTCCTGACGCTCCTCTCGTCTCAGATCCGGTCTCTGCTGACGGATTCCTCATGTGTGTCGAGGGAGGGAGAGAACAGAGACAAATGAAGCTCGTATCATTTGGTGTCATTTTAAAAGGCCAGTGAAGTTATTGCTGTTTTATTTTCAGGATTCTTATTCTAGTTTTCCTTTGTCTTTCTGACAGTACACTGCAAATGAAATAAAAGAGATGGACATTTATATAATTGGCTCCAGATTCTCTTCAGCTCTTCATTTCTTTCTTTCATCGCTCAATTAATGGTTCAGAATGAGTCTGTGTCATTTCCCTTCATTATGCTTTCATGGAGAGTTGCACCGCCCTGCTGGACAACACGAGGACACAATATAATCAATATAATATATATATATATATATGTGTATATGTGTATGTATATATATATGTAAGTATGTATGGATGGATGGATGGATGGATGTTATGTATGGATGTATGTGTGTGTATATGAAAATATATAATAAATACATAAATATATTACATTACATTAATATATATTATGTTTAATAGTAATATAATATTATTTGATAATGTTAGCTAAATGATGTTTCATATAAATTATAGATTACATTATTTAATGTAATATATACATACAGAAATAAAACAAAACAGGTATTTCAGAATATGTCTTTACAAACATCAAAATATATAGTCAGTTTTTTTGCCTATGGTTTTATTCTGAAAACTGTTTATATAGATTATAGTTTTTTTGTACAAATGAAAATTAAATATTACACACGTTATATGTTATGTTAGTATTTGTGATATACATACAAAAATACAACAACAAATATTACAAAATGTTATCATAAACATACAAAGTTGGTTTCTTGTCTGATAAAGTCTGACATTTTTTTCCGTTATCTATCCCCCCCCCCCCCCCCCC